TATAAATAATTAAATGTCTATCCTAAATACCATTAACATTGCGTTCGGATGAGACGATTTACTGTAGAGGAGAATTTGCGAGGATGGATTTGCGTGGTAAACCGTGTTCGATTGGCGTGATTTGGTATGACGGAAATGCATGTAAATACAACGATTTGCGATGATTTTCACTTTTTCAGCATCTCGCAGATGAGCAAAGATTTGCGCTGATTTGTAGTGAAAACTCGTATCTGCCCTTGTGCTTTTACAATAATTCAACAATAATTTAAAAAAGCGTGCATGAGATACGTACACATATAACGTGATTAGGTTTCATTTTTTTTACTCCTTTCAACCAAATGCATTGTGCCATCACAAGGGATAATACTGTGGCTTGGCATGTGAGGAGGTTCGACTGTGTGGACGCAGGCTTTTGCAGCATTTTAAAATAATTTTTTTTATACATTATAACTTTTATAATTTTTCACCACTAATTTTATAAAATATTCATAATTTTTTTCTCTTCATAAACATTTTTACAATTAAATATAACATTACAAAATAACATTTTATAATACTTTTATACCTATGAGCATTTTGGTAATCTTTATTTTCTACCAATTAAACTAATTTCTAAAATCCATCATATTAATCAAATCCTACACTAATTCTCACAAACTTTACTTCCAAATCGACTCTCAATTAACCACAAATCCATTCAAAAAAACAACTAAAAAATTACCCTCAAATCCACTCAAATCCATTCAAATCATCCCCCCAAATCATCTCCCCCAAATACACCCAAAAGAACACACCCTAAAAGTTGAGATAGAATAAAATATTATAGGGTGAGAGAATAAAAAGAAAAAAAAATCTTATGAGATCACTAACAAATTTTTCTAGAATGAAACTACAATCATACAGAAGAAATGGATATATGTTTTTTTAAGTTATATATTAAATTATGAGTGTTTTACAAATTTAATAAGTATGAAAACTCGAATCAAAATAAATATATAAATTTTCATTCTCATCTTAAAAAAATTAGATATTTCTACATTTATACATGTATTTTATCAATGCAGAGTTTTGTTTATAAAATTGAAATAATTTCTATAAGGGCCTGAAAATATATGGCAGTTGGGCCTTATGTTGAAGTAGCCAGACCTATAACACTAAGGGCACTATGACCTTAGGAGAGACTTTTCAGATCTGAGCTCATTATCTCAGTTTCCCATTCTTTGTCTAAAAAGCTCGTTCCTCCATTTCTCTCTGGCTTCTCTCTACCTTTCCCTCACGTTTAGTGGTTGCATGTTGGATTAGGTGGTGCTGAAGTGACCGTGAGCGTAGAGACCTTCGCAACCATCCAAATAGATTTTCATTCTTCAGCGGGTAAGTAGTTCTTCACTGTTCTCCGTTGTTTGGGACCTAGGGTAAGTTGCATGTGCCTAGTGTACCATTCTTTATGTTTTCCTTCGTTCATTCTAGCTCTAAGAGCTGTTCTTGGTCACCGCATTGCGAGTTGTAGGGTGTTGTCTAGATTATTCGCGTGTGGGGTACTGGAGCTGCGAGTCTTTGAGCTGAGCAAAGAAGTTTCAAGGTAAGGGGAGCTATAATGTTTCTTTAATTGGTTGCATGAACTGTATGTTGAGTGTTGTGTTGTTGGACTGTTGATATTGTGTTTTGATTTGGAAAGACTTAGTTGCATGTGTTGGGTTGAATGACTGTGAAATTGGATTGTAATGTATGTAAACTGTTTTGAGATGTATTTAAATTCTATAATGTCTATGTTGATGCGTTTGGGCTGAGAGACATGTTGTAACAGTGAATGGATGGAAAAATTGGTATTCTGTAAGGGTTTTGGGTCACTTTAGAGGAAATGAGGTAGTGATTTTGGGAAGTAAGGGTTCTAGGCACATTTGGGCTGTTGGGACATCTTAGGAATGTCATTTGTGACCTTTTAGGATCATAAAACTGGACTAGGATATGTTAGAAGTGGTAAAATCGAAATTGGGTCCTTAAGTTGTGGAAATTGATGTTTCAATAGACAAAACTTGATCTTAATCACCTGAGGATGGTAGTAGGAATGTTCAGAATCATTTAGATGAGTGTAATTAAGTATAAAACAAGAATTAAGGGTGTTAGAAGTGGAGTTCGGCCTTAGTGATTTGTCTTGTTGAGCGTTCAGTTTTAGCGTTCGGTCGTAATAGTGTTCGGTCTTAGTGCTTTGTCTTGTTGAGCGTTCAGTTTTAGCGTTCGGTCGTAATAGTATTCGGTCTAAGTGCTCAGACTTAAGTAGAGTTCGACCTTAGTGCTCTGTCTTGTTGAGCGTTCGGTCTTAGCGTTCAGTCGTAATAGTGTTCGGTCTTAGTGCTTGGTCTTAAGTGGAGTTCGGTCTTAGTGCTCTGTCTTGTTGAGCGTTCGGTCGTAATAGTGTTCGGTCTTAGTGCTCAGTCTTAAGTGGAGTTCGACCTTAGTGCTCCGTCTTGGTAGCGTTCGGTCTCTTAAGTAGCGTACGGTCTTAGTGGGTGGTCTCTGTAGCATTCAGTCTCTTAAAGAGAGTTCGGTCTCTTAAGTAGCGTAGGTCTCAGTGGGTGGTCTTGGTAGCGTTTGGTCCCTTAAAAAGAGTTCAGTCTCTCAAGTAGCATACGGTCTTAGTGGGTGGTCTTAGTAGCGTTCGGTCTTAGTGGATGATCTCTTAAGTAGCGTTTGGTCTCAGGTAGCATCTGGTCTCTCTTAGTGAGCGGTCCTGAATAGTGTTCGGTCACTCTTCAGTCTTACCATTTATGGACCGTTTGGTCCTGTCCTTTGGGAAGTGAGATACCGTTCGGTCTTCACCATTCACAGGGTGTTCGGTCTTGCCCATTATGGGTTGCTGTTTCCTGTTCGGCCTATATTCCTATTTATTCCAGTATGTTATGTTACTTAATTGTTCTAGTTGCTTTAAGGGTCTATGTATGCATTAACATGTTGGTGTAAAGTGGAAAGTATTAGTATTGGACGTAATTCCATGATCCTCAAGGAGGATACATGGTGGTGCCCTTTTAGTGTGTTTAGAATGATTTGCACGGTAGCTCAGTCTTGGGGGTTTTCCTCACGCTCCAATGGCCTTTTATTCTCAAGTAGAGAGGATTGATCCATGTGGTGAGGAGTAGCAGGAGGTCCTAGTCTTGGGTGCTTCTAGTATGGCCTAAGATGAGTGATAACGGACTAACCTCGTGAGTGTGGGGTGGAACCCATTGGCAATGGCTTTGCAAAGCAGTAGAAGCCAACACGAGTGCATAACCCGCCATAGCTCGGCAATCATTCTAAGTCTGGACAAGTCAAGTTTAAGTGCAACAAGTCATGTTTGTATAGTATAGTATATTCGCCTTTACTTGCATGTTGCTTATGACTGTTAATAACATGATTTTTTTTATCTAGCTCACCCTTGCTTGTGTGTTTGTGTTTGCTTGGATATGCTTTCTTTTGCAATGATCATCCACTTGGATGTGAGTAGAGATGGATGAGGTGCCTCTAGAGCAGGCTTTGGAGGAAGGCGATGCTGCGGCTTAGTCTCCTTACGACTCTCTTAGTATTTCTTGTATTTTGAATTACTATTTTAGCTGTTAAGGATTTTTCCAGTGGTTCCTATCCTTTTGAAACACTCTACTTGCATTTAAGTTTTAAATTATGCTTCATTCTGGGATAACTGTAAGCTTAACTACTTTGTTTAGAGTCTACTCTAAATGTTCTCTTTTATTTAAATGTGAACTTACTATGTTTTATGCTCCTATATAATCTGTGATTACAATTTCAAATATGTACAATGTATATACTCATAAGTGGATGCTTTTTTCATTTTTTATATTAAAAGCAACTTTTTAAAACAATTAAGTTTTAATTATAATTAAACCGATACAATTGAAATATACTTAATTTATTATTTAGAAATAAACTAAAACCTCAAATTTTAACATTTATTATCTTAAAATTTTATAACAAGGTTATTTGACATATTGGAAAGAAAAATACTTACTATGTTAATTTTTTTATACAAAGCCAATGTTATATTTACTATAAGTTTTGGAAGAAAAATAAAAAGTTGATTAAAAAAATAATACAGCATTTACATCCTTTGAATATAAGTTGACTAAAGAAAATGACCGTAACATTTTTTCTTCTATAAAATAATAACAATAAATTTATAAATCATTATTCAAACAATATTCTATAATTTTTTAACTTAAAAATATTTAATATATTTTAAATATCATTACTAAATTATTTTTTCTTTTCTAAGACTAAATATTTATAATATTAAAAGATTGTATGTATATATTTTTAAAAAATAATATGAACGTAAAATTATTTCTTCTGTTTTCAAAACTCATAAATTCATCAATAAATCAGTTAAAATATCTCAGTACGAGAAGATGTACTATTTGTTTCAATTCAACTGAACACACGCAAGTAACCAATGTTAGAAAGAAAATATCACATGCTTAAATAATTTTTATTTAAATATCTAATTAAAAATAATATTATATTAAGTTATCAAAATCAATATTTTAATTAAATTCATTAAATTACTTCAATATTTTCTCAAACTTTGAGTTATATGCAAAAGTGGACATAAAGATAAGATCTTTTAGAACAAGCTGTAATATACACGAAAAGTAATATAATATAAATATGAATATATTTTTTCATATCAATTAAGATTCATAATTAAATTCATATGTAAATATATATCTAAAATATTATTTTACATATTTACTTTGTTATATGATTGTGAAACTAAAAAACAAGTAAAAAATAGAAAAATAATAAAATATAAACAATGTGGACTATAAACTATATAATTAAAAATTTATGGATAATAACTTGGATATAGATAATATAAAATATTTATATAGTACAAAACTAAAAAAATTAAAATAAAGAGATTAATAGAATAAAAACTGTAAAAACTGTACCAAAAATACTGTAACGTTAGATTATCTGTGTGTAAAAGTAATAACAAAATAAGTAAAAGATAAGGAAAAAAGAAAAAGTAAAAACCCTGAGCCAGCATAAAACATCCCTGAAAACCTAGAAGCGCATTATAAGTTTGGACGCTGTTCTGCAATTTTGACACGGCTTAGCATCAACTCAATATGGAAGAAAAAATAGACACTGCAGACAAGAAGGTGAGCTTCCTTAGTCAACGCTTTCAGTATGTTTGTTTGTTTGTTCACGGTTATTTCCAACGCCTTCGAACAAGCAGTTCAACTTGTGCGTTTTTCGCTTTTAAGTTTCTTTAGATGTTTAGTATTTTGAATGTACTGCTGGGAATCAATTGAATATTTTAGGTGGTGAATTTTTATGGGAAATTAGGATGAATGTTTTGGCATGAATGAGTTAAAGCCCAAAGTTAAGAATCGAGGTATACACTCTTAGTTTTAGTTGTGTGTTTCCTGTCACAGTTTCAGGGGTGATGAAATCATTGGACGAAATGCCTATGCTTTAATACTTATTTAAATAATGAAAGACTTCATTTGCTGGAAACCTAGTGAATCAGTTCATATAGAATTAGGGATTAGTTATGTTTGCCAAAATGATTTGCAACTTCTTTTGTTGTTGGTGATAATGATGTCATCAATAGTCATATAGATAAATAGATAAATTGTAATACATTGTGAGACTTTTAGATGTATATGCCAGTTTAAGTGGATGATGAGATATCGTGAGTGTTTTATAGTATTTTTGTTTTCCCTTTCCTTCTTTCTCCTCTGTCCCGGCAATATAAACCGTGCTTCCATATGCGTAGGTGCTGGCTGATATTGTAAAATTGGCACAAAAGAGAGGCCTCAAGGGTAAGCTAGGAGACTGGAAAGAATTCTTGGACAGTCATGACAAAAAGTTTGGGGCCAATTTGAGTGATCCTTCAAAGCGACCACATGAGTTATTGGCTACATTTCTAAAGTCTTTTTCGAAGGAGGAAGATTTGAAGGTAAATAACTTTTTAGTACCAAATATGTACACATACACTCAAAAGATGTGATTTTTATTTATTTCTCCTGTGTTTAGTTTTTTGACAACATCATGCGACATCATGAAAATCAATACATGTTGGAGCGACTGAAAGATAAATCCCATGAGTCCCCGGAGCAGGTACGTTTTAGTGGTGATTTCTCTGCTAAAATCTTGTTTAGATTTGTAGTTAACTTCCTTTCCTGGATTATAGTTGTAATAAAATAATGTTATTTTACCTTAGTTTTCTATTAAATACTAAGTTTACTTCCCATTAAGGGCATACTCACCGAATGTGCTTTGGGCTTTCTACCAATCCTTTGCTGTTATTTCTTTAAGCGATTCAACATTATTATTCAATTTCATTGAGAATGTTCCAATCAATGTTTTCAAAACTGGACATGGCGGTTTAACTAGTTGAATCAGGAACCACACTAGTGTTTGGTCCAAGTCTTCCTAAAAGACAGATTTAAATTTGAACCGGGAAACTGGTGGGTTGGGAGGTTTGACTGGTTGTTTTTGAAAACTTATTTTATTTTTTTTATGCTGTTAGTTGGTTTTTCAAGAGAGTTGTAGTTACTAACGATTTTAAATTTGAAACGTGATATAGCTGGTGAAATTGGGAAACCGGGTGGGTTGAGAGGTTCAACTTGTTGGTTCTAAGAACGTGTGGTTTTTTGTTGTAGAGGGTTGTAGTTACTAATGGATTTTATTTGTTATTGTTGAACTTATATATGATGTATTATACTTGTTTGCTTTCATATATAGCTTACTTTTGTCGCATGCTATGACTTATATGACACATTTAAGT